TGCTTCTTTTATGAAATCCGAACCATTGATTCATAAAAAAAGAAATGTCATCAAGTCAGCAAAAAATATTAGTCCAATTAGCTTCTAAGATAAATTCGTTAAAGTTTTGAACAAAAATGAACATTTTGTGTATTTCTCATAAATTGATTATTATTCTGATAAAGTTGAAAGTTGTGGTGTATTATTCCAAAAATAATTGGAAATAATATGGTACTAAATACAATGAGCGAGCCCATAGATATGTAAAGCTTTTTGCTGGTTCCAAATCTATAGGGATCACATCAGTAGGGATGTAATAACTGAAAGATAAAATGCAGGGAAGGATTTGTGTGTATTGTAGTTATGAACAAGTAAAGAATATATACAGTACATCTGGTAGATCGTGAGAAATGGGATGCTAGAGTAGAGAGGAGGAGAGATTGTAGCTAATGGGATGCTAGAGTAGAGAGGAGGAGAGATTGTAGCTAACAGAGAAGGGTTTGTAACTAACCAATCTCTATACACGGAATAAAACAGAGGAAATAAATAAATAGAAATTAATTTATTTCTCCAATACGCCCCTGCAAGTCGGACAGAGTGTCAACGGCGCCGAGCTTGGACCGAAGAAGATGAAACCGAGTAGCAGGTAACGGTTTGGTAAGCACATCGGCCAGCTGATGTGATGTCAGAATATAAGAGACCCGCAGACGCTGTGCTTGAACCAATTGACGAACAAAATGATAGTCCAACGCCAAGTGCTTCATGCGAGAGTGGAAGACTGGATTGGAACTGAAGTATGTGGCGTCAAGATTATCGGAGTAGAGAATAGGAGGAACAAACAGTGGTTGATGAAGCTCCAATAAGAGATTACGGATCCACTCTAGTTCGGCCGTGGGATGTGCTATGGCACGATACTCAGCTTCAGTACTAGAATGAGCTACAGTACGCTGTTTTTGAGAGCGCCAGGAAATAAGAGTATTGCCAAGATAAACCAGATAGCCCGACATAAAGGAACGATCGTCGAGATCACCTGCCCAATTCGAGTCCGCAAAGGCAGACATAGAAAGAGCCCCAGTCGGGCGGCGAATAACCAAACCACAAATGAGAGTCCCCGAAATGTAACGAAGCAAGCGTTTCACATGTTGCCAATGAGAGGATGTAGGAGCATGCATATACCGTGAAAGCTTATTGACAGCAAATGCAATATCGGGACGGGTATAAGTTAAATACTGCATAGCACCAAGAACCTGACGATACCTTGTAGCATCCGTAGGAGAACTCCCATCATGAAGGGATAAAGAAACGGAAGAGGCTAGGGGTGTGCAGCAGCGTTGGCATCGGTCATGGAAAAACGATGGAGGACATCTTCCATGTATTTCTGCTGAGAAAGAACATAGCCAGTAGTAGTGGGTATGACCTCGATACCCAAGAAGTAATTAACCGAACCAAGAGACTTAAGAGAGAACTTGTGAGAAAGAGCCTCTTGAAAAGAGGACAAGGCTGCCGAGTCGTTCCCTGTTAATAAAAGGTCATCAATATAGACCATAAAATAAAGAAGAACCCCCTGTCGTGAGTAGACAAAAAGGGGTGCATCGGAGTGAGTCTTGCGAAAACCATAGGCCTCAAGAAAAGCACTAAGAGCCGTAGACCAGGCACGAGGAGCCTGCCGAAGACCATAAATGGCACGGCGAAGACGACAAACATGAGTCGGTTTGGACGGATCAACAAACCCAGGTGGCTGAGACATATACACTTCATCCTCCAAAGGGTCTTGGAGGAAGGCATTATTAACATCAAATTGTTGAATCGACCAGCTGTGAGAGAGAGCGCCAATGTAAATATCGTGCGAACAGTGACTGGTTTGACCACCGGACTGAATGTATCAGTGTAATCGATACCCGATCATTGACGAAAACCTTTGGCAACGATGCGGGCCTTGTACTTGTCAATGAGACCAGAGGATAGGAACTTGACACGAAAAACCCAACGACAATCAAGTATATTGTAATGGGGAAGGAGAGGAACAAGCTCCCATGTAGGATTATTAAGCAGAACCCGATGTTCAGCAGTAAGAGCAGCATCCCACTCTTTGTAGCGTAGGGCTTCCTTCACTGAACAAGGTTGGAGAGGAGGGGAACCTGAAATAATAGAAGTAGCAAAGAGCCTCTTTGGTTTGAAGATACCTCTCTGAGAGCGGGTAGTCATAGTATGCGAGCGGTGAACAGGTGGTGGGCCAGCAGCAGATGAGCTGGGGAGAGGGGCCGGAGTGGCAGGCCCAGGCGGAGAGGGCCCAGGCGGGGCAAACTCGGTGGAAGTGGAGGAGGCTTGTGAGGATCCGTCGCTGGCAGGAACATTTTCTGAAGGGGAATGGGTCGAGGATGGCCCAGGTGAAGGCGAGGCAGCCGCATGAGATGGTCCTGGAGAAGAGTTCGGCAGATAGGTGATAGGAGGAGAAGAGTCAAAAAGCCAGGAGTGAATGGTAGGCGGAGAAGTGGAGGAAATATTAGGAAGGCCTGGAAATTGTGTCTCAACAAAAATTACATGACGTGAGAGAAAAACACGGTCAGTATGAGGATCATAACAACGATAGGCACTCCGTTGAGGACAATAACCAAGAAATATACAAGGTCGAGAACGAGGATCAAGTTTAGTGGGAGAGTAGGGACGAAGCCATGGATAATAGAGACAACCAAACACACGAAGTTTATGATAGTTAGGTGGTAAATTGAAAAGAAGTGTATATGGAATTTTACCACGCAATGCAGAGGTAGGAAGGCGATTGATGAGATATATGGTTGTGGAGAATGCATATGACCAAAAGGACTAAGAAAGTTTGGCATGGTGAAGAAGTGTAATACCGGTTTCAACCAGATGATGGTGTTTCCGTTCGGCAAGACCATTATGCTCAGGTGTATGAGGTGGTGTAAGAAGATGTGTAATGCCATGATCAGTTAAAGTAGAACACAACTTTTGAAACTCACCGCCACCATCAGTATACAAACGACGAATGGTAGTAGTGAAATAATTCTGAACCATTTTTTGAAAATTGAGAAAGACATCAAGCACATTGGATTTTTTACGCAGAGGATAATACCACGTGTAGCGAGTAAAGTGGTCCACAATAATCAAGTAATAACGGAAACCATCAATACAATTAATCGGAGCAGGGCCCCAAACATCAGTGTACAAAAGATCAAATGGACGACTGCTAGTCAACGAAGAAGTGGCAAAAGGAAGTTTATGACTTTTATTGGAGAGACAAGCATCACAAGTATGACTAGTGATAGCAGAGGAAACAGGAAGAGAAAAAGACCGAATGACATTGGTAAGAGAGGAATGGGAAGGATGACAAAGACGAGAGTGCCAAGATGTTGCAGTTGTCTTGGTGGAAATAAGTGCCATACGAACCATTCCCACCTCATGCGGTAACTCGTAGAATCACCGTTGTTTGCCCCTGTCAGCAGATGCGCCCCCGTGCGAAGGTCCTTCACAACAAAATGAGTGGCAAAAAATTTCACTGACACAGGATTAGTTTGACACAATTTGGCCACAGAAATAAGATGTTTCTTTATAGCTGGCACGCAGAGAACATCATTCAACCGAAATAAATGTGAGCCAGCAGATAAATTAGATGAGCCAATATGAGATATGGTTAAACCTGTACCATCACCAACTTGTATTTTATCGGGGCCAAGATAATCAGAATAAAGGGACAAGTTCCCTAGGTCTGGTGTGGCATGATGGGAGGCGACCGTGTCATGAATCCAAGGCCCAGATGAAGGAGCCGCATACCCATGCCCATGTGTAGAGGAAGACTGGGCTTGAGGAGAAGCCAAATACCCAGGCCCACTTGCTATGGTGAAATGGGCTTGAGGAGCTGTAGAGGAACGAGCCTATTGGAAGGCCTGCCTTGCCTGCGGGAAGAGTTGGAAGTACTGCCGAACAGTGTGCCCTTGGCGGTCACAATATTGGCAGCGCACAGGGACTCGCCGCTGACAAGGGGAATCCAGCAAGGAAGCAGAACCCTGAAAAGACGCCAGCGAAGAAGGATGACCACCGTCAGGACTATAGGACGGCTGGGAACAGCGAGATTGAGAAGAGCCACCGTCACCACTGTGGCTGCTATTGCCGTGACGATTCTGGCCTTGAGAGAAAAAAGCAGTCGACACATTAGAGGTATGAGCTTGGAGTTTCATATCAGCTTCAAACTCCACCAGAGAATCAACTAGCTCTTCTATAGAGACGAAAGTGCCCCGTGCTCGTACCGCTGCAGAGAAGGGATTATAATCCTGGCCGAGACCACGTAGACAATGCACAACCAGGTCAATGTCCTTGACTGGTTCCTCAATAAGAGCAAGTTCTGCAGCTATAAGTCGCAGATCATTAACATATATGACGATGTCTTTGTCACCCTTAACGGCATTAGCCAATTTTCCTTTCAAATGAATGATGCGTGACATATTCTTGCCGGCATACAATTTTTCAAGAATGAGTCAGGCCTCACGAGAAGTAGTAGCAGCAGAAACATACGAGTAAAGCAACTCTATAATGGAACAACGAAGAGCATGAAGGATCAGCTTATCTTGTCGAAACCAGAGACGATACGCCGGATTGGGAGTTGTTGTCTTGTCATTGGTGACTGTCTGCGGCAGAATTGTGGTTGTACCATCAATATATTGAATGAGATCAAGCCCCATAAGAAGTGTTTCAAGCTGGGACCTCCAAGAATTGAAATTGGCAGAGTTTAGTTTCAAGGGAAGTTGTGCGGCAGGATTGAAAGTGATGATCGAATGAAGCGAATACGCCTGACATATTGATAATGATCGGATTGAGACTAGTTGATGTGACTAGTTCTGATACCATGAAAGAATATATACAGTACATCGGGTAGATCGTTAGAAATGGGATGCTAGAGAGGAGGAGAGATTGTAGCTAACAGAGAAGGGTTTGTAACTAACCAATCTCTATACACGAACTAAAGTCTAAACAGAGGAAATAAATAAATAGAAGTTAATTTATTTCTCTAATAATAACATCATTTAGTCCCTTTTCTATGATTCATGTTCGATTGTACGAAGCTATTTGCAACAACAACAAACACAGAAGAGAAGGAAGAAAAAAAAATCAATGCAAAAGCCAAAAACGGTTTGACAGATTCCAACCAAAAGACCATCACTGGCTCAGCAAATCCGCACAAAGCAAGACAACGAGACAAAAAACAGAAATAATAAGCTATATTCCTCCATTTACAATGATCACCGGCCTTAGCCAACAAATAAAATTAAATCCGGCGACTCCACCATCAGCTGGAGCTAGCTAAATCCATCTAGCCAGTCCAAACGCCGGCGGAAGATGCTCCTCCTCTGCCGGCCGCCGGCCGCCATTCGCGACCCGGCAATTCCTCCTCACTTCCCCTGGTCTCCCGGACTGCAAATCACCCATCTTCACCATCCCTTCAACAAAGGCCCCGAAAAACTCCTCCTCGTCCCGGCCAAACACCTCCACGTACTTCCTCGTCAGCGGATATGTGAAGAGCGTTTGATCGGAGTTGAGGAACCCTCTCCCGCCGACCAATTCCTTGAAGTAGGCGTTGTCGAACACCGCGGGGGTGGAATCCAGCCCCACGGTGGCGCTCTCGTCGCCTCCCATCGGGCACAGCTCCATCAACTTCTCCCTGAACCGCGGCTCGATTGCCGGGTCGGGTCGGCCGGGCCCGGATTGGTTGTAGAGGCGGAATTGGATCGAAAAGCACCGGCCTTTGCCGATGGAGTGGGAACCCGAGAGGGCCACCAGGTCCTTCACCGAGAGGTTGTACCCGGCGAAGAGGTCGATCAGCATCGTGGCGTTGGCCCGTGGGCTGGGCATGATCGCGTCGGCGTCGGCCTGGCTCGCCGTCAGGCTGTCCAGCCGGCCCAGCTTCACTTCCCAGTTGGGCCCACCCGTCTGATTCGGTGAACAGAACGAAAAAAACAGAGATAAGGCAAAAACAACAGAGGAGAAAACAGAGAGAGGATTGCTTTGTTGCTAATTATGCAGAGTAGGATTGAATCGAAGGAGGTTGTCGTTGTACCAGGGAAACGGCGTCGCGGGAAGCCATGACGATGATGTCAGCGCAGGAGACCACGCCGGGGCAAGCTTCCTCGAGCTCGGCCTTGATATCGTCGACGACGTCGTATGAGCGGAGGGAATCGATGTTGGAAAGGGAGAGCTTTTCGCCAAGCATGGTGTCTGTGTCATCCAGCAGCATTGAACCGTCGCATCCCTGAATTATTATTAATTCAAACAAAAAGAAAGGAGGAAAAAAAGAACATAGATGAATCAATTTCAAATATTAGTTCTTACATCTTATCAACAAAAGAAACAGAGTCTTTTTAGTTTTGTGATTACATTGACGAAGCAGTCGTGGAATTGGAAGCGCATAACGGAGGCAGCGCTTCGTGGGTCGGAGAGGAGTGACTTCCTCATGGCTTCCCTCACGATGAATTCGGCCGGAGGGCAGGTGGCGGAGTAGTATCCGTGGCGGAGGGGAGTCGCCGTCGCCGGTGATGAGGGGGTAGTGGTGATTAGTAGGAGAAACGCGAGTGATGAGAAGAGAAGAGACATGTTGGTGGTTGTGGGGGACTTCAGAATTCACTTGGTTAGTTGTATTTGCAGGTTTTGGAGGTTGAGGGAGGCGTGCGTGAGTGTTAAGAGTGAAAAGGGAAAGCCGGAGGGGGCACTGCTACTCCTACTCTGCTTTTTGTTTTGGGAATGGAGCGGCATCAGGGGAAGGAAGATGGGAGCTTTATAGTGATAGTGGGGCTGTCACTGTGGGCACTATCGAAGCTAAATGGGGGGAAAGACTGACTTTACGTTACATACTGAATAATAAACTCTTTCCTTTATCACCTTGTTGACATTTGTTTCATCCAAGGAATTGGTTATGGCGTATATGGGAGAATGGCACTCAAAACAGAGCACTTTCTTCTTTCTTTCCGACTGACAGGAGCAAATTGGGTCCAAGATAGGGTACCCATCAGTAACAACACGCGGGCCGTCGATTTGGGGAGGGAGAAATCGTGTGGATGGGCTGGACGCTGGGTGGGGAGGGGCATTTTTGTCCGTTTTCGTATTTTTAATTTTTTATTACTTCCGCATTTCAATGGCTGGCTTTTCAATAAAAGGGAGAGAATCTTCCTTCTCTGCAACTCAACTTTCTTCCTTCTCTCTTCCTTTTTTCAATCTCTTCCATAACCTTTCTCTTTCTCTATTCCTTCTCTCTTACTTTTTTTTCTCACAATCTCCTTTTCAAATCTAAATCTGCTCTCTTCCTTCTTCATTTTTTTTCTCTAGCATAAAAATTGTAGCCACTCTCTTTCATTACATTTCTTCTCTTCATCAACTCGTTGGACTCAATTCCGATCTTTCTCATTTTTTTGGCATTTTGGTGTTCTTGATTGAGGAAGAGGAAATGAGAGGCATCAGAAGACGATTTTTTTCTCTCCCTCCTTCTGTTTTTTTCCTTTTAGATAATATATATTGATATTATGACTCTATACCATATGGTATTGGGTGGTAACGAAATATATATTGACATTACCATACTATACCCTATGGTAATTTATATGGTATTGCGTGGTAACGAAATATATATTGATATTACCACTCTATACCATATGGTATTGTGTGGTAACGAAATATATATTGATATTACCACTCTATACCATATGGTATTGTGTGATATTACCACACTATACCATATGGTATTGTGTGGTAACGAAATATATATCGATATTACCACACTATACCCTATGGTATTGGGTGGTAACGAAATATATATTGATATTACCACACTATACCATATGGTATTGGGTGGTAACGAAATATATATTGATATTACCACACTATACCATATGGTATTGGGTGGTAACGAAATATATATTGATATTACCACTCTATACCATATGGTATTATGTGAATTGTGTGATATTACCACACTATACCATATGGTATTGGGTGGTAACGAAATATATATTGATATTACCACTCTATACCATATGGTATTATGTGAATTGTGTGATATTACCACACTATACCATATGGTATTGGGTGGTAACGAAATATATATTGATATTACCACACTATACCATATGGTATTGGGTGGTAACGAATTATATATTCATGTGGCAAATATTACCATACCACATGGTATGCTATTGTTTAATACCAATCAATACCATATGGTACAGTCAATACCATATGGTATGACTGGTAATAACTGACAAATTTTTTTGTGTCCAAAAAATATCAAAGTGGATATCATTTTGAAGAGCACAATTAATCTGATCTAACTGTGCAAAAAAAAATTAAATTTCGACTTAAAACGAGTGAGAAATCGTCCGTCAAAGATTAAGGGAAGGAAAATTAAATGTTTTGCCAGGAGAGAGAAGGAGGGGCTGATAGGCTCCGGTCAAAAGTGAGCAACAATAATAAATAGGAGTAAGTGCAATTTTACCGTACTACCCTTTTCACATTTAATTTAAATAAAAAAGTGACTGACACGTGGGGACCAGGGAAGGGGTTACTGATGGGTTACTGACCCATCAGCTACTGACAAGATCCGGACCCGAGCAAATTGAGAGGTTACACTTTTCAAACTGTTAATGGCGGCTTAATGCTTTGTTATTTACAATTCTAGAACTGCAAATAAGACGAGTCGAGTCGAGTCTTATTCTAGTTTGAGCTCTATTCGAGGTCGAGCTAGCTTGTTTACTAAAATCTTGACTTTTATTTGGACTTCATTTTGTATATCATGATACATATGGTTTATTTTGTTAGCTAATCTCATATTATATTTTGTTGGTATCATATATCATTTAGTTAATAAATTTTAAATACTCCCAATCATATTATTTCATAGTATCGAAGCAATCTATGATACATAATTTCTTTTTAAAATAGAAAATAAGATATATTTACTAACATACTCAACGTGTTAAACTTTATATATGGGGAGATATATAATTTAACAACCATATGAATTAAAATCATAAGATATAGATTGATTCGTCCATAAGTTGGTAATCGAGTTGGCTCTCTAGCCACATGTTGAGACATATCATGAGCTCTAAACGAGCCAACTCACGAGTTAAACTCAACAAGCAACCGAGTCGAGCTAGCTCGCGAGCTGAACAAAGCTTAGCTCATGTTCAACTCGTTTATTAACGAGCCGAGTTTCGAACGATCTTTTTTCGAGACGAATTCCAAGCCGCTCGCTAGCAGCTCGACTCATTTGCAGCCCTATCTACGACAGGGAGCATGAATTTTTGTTTGAGTTGAATATTTTCTGCCACACAATAGTTTTGTGTGATTGTATTTCTCATCGTCTGCGTTTATTGCTATTTACTAAGACCTCGACTCAAGTATAAATTTGCAATTTTTCATTTCTTTGCTTATTAAGTTGGACGTGATGAGCATCTACTCCCAAGATGGCAATGAGGCAGGTTGAGATGGATATTTCAAATATTCATACTCGTCTTGTAATATGTCAAGTAATTTATCATGAAGTGTATCGGAACAGAACGGTTAATAAGGGTATGTGATTTAAGGAAAAATATTAGAAATAATTATTTTTATTAACATATAGCAGTAAGTATAAATTTGCAATTTTTCATTTCTTTGCTTAATAAGTTGGACGTGATGAACATCTATTCCCAAGATGGTAATGAGGCAGGTTGAGATGGATATTTCAAATATTTATACTCGTTTTGTAATATGTCAAGTAATTTATCATGAAGTGTGGGTCAGAACAGAACGGTTAATAAGAGTATGTAATTTAAGGAAAAAATTTAGAAATAATCATTTTTATTAACAGATAGCAGCAGAGATGAAGCATAAAATCTGTCATTCTCTTGTTGTATTTCAACTTAAAATCGAATTAATATTTAAATAACCAGACTTAAAGTCAAGAGATCCATATTTAACAAATATGATATCGTGATGACTCAGAATCTTGTTCATTAGCATCTTAAGGCCTTTAGGTTAATGTTTATCTTGTTCACGATTAGAACCTCGGAATACTATGAGGAATTTTACAATGCTATATAGTATTGGTGCTATAGGTTTTTGCTTTTATGGTACAACCTGAAATTGTACATTTAACGTTATGGTACAACTTTGGATTATACCTATACTGTTTGTACAAATTCTTTTATGGTACAACTTGAACTTGTACCTTTATGTGATGGTACAACTTCAAGTTGTAAAGTTGTACCATAATATAATGATACAAATTCTTTTATGGTACAATCTAAACTTATACATTTCATATTATGGTACAACTTTAAATTGTACATTAAATCACCAATACTATATAGCATAATAGAAATGCTCGGAATACTAGGCGATTCGTTGTTTTCATGCTTACTAGTTAGCTGTTATCTTCATTTCATTTGTTTACTTTTAGTGGCAAGTCGAAAATTTGAATGAGAGGTTTAATTGAACCATGATGATTGGGAGAGGGAGGGCTAACGCCTTTTCAATTATTTTATTTTTCAAATTTGTTATAAAATTTACATGCATTTTAAATATAGAGGTTATAGCCCCTCCTAACTTCAACCTACCTCCTCTAGGGATGGCTATACGGTCCGGTCAGGTTAAATTGGACCAAATTGATCCAGTTTCACTCCGGTCTTTTCGGGAATATAAGGACCAAATATTGGATTGGATACAGTCCGGTCTTGATCCGGTCCGATCCCAATTTGATCTTGATTTTAGGTGTTGGGGGTCTCTTATCCGGTCTTTATCCGGGTTTTTTACCTCAAATCTAAGTCCAAATATGAGATTGGATTGTTTGCTATCCGGTCCCGATCCGAGTTATACGGTCCGATTTCGAGTAAAACCAAACAATCCGGACCAAATAGCCAGCCCTAACCTCCTCCACTGTTTGCTTTATTGCGCTTCTACCAAGTTGTATCCAAGTCCTTACATTCACAACTAGGTTGTTAGACTTTCCTATGACTCTTAGTCTTAACAAGAGCTAAATCAATTAAAAATTAATAAGGGAGAAGAGGTAAGTATCTGTTTCAATTAACAACTCATTACCTATCAAATACTAACACTTTCTGCAATATGTAGCAAAATATGTATTCCATCAAACGCAAAGTTATCAGAGTTAAGAATGGATGGTGTTAAAATGGATGGAAAGCCTGTCCATAAAATTCGAAGAAGAGTGAGACGAGTACTTTTGTGGAAACTGTACATATACCCACCACATGTTTTGCTTTTGAATGTCAATAATCTAAAGTTTCATACTTTTATCTTTTTTTATATATGAAAAATTTAATTGTATTAACTGAGCTCTCTTTTGATTTTTTTTATTGATTTAATTTTTTTGTATTGAACTAAAAAAAGTGATAAAGAAGTTAAAAAATTTAAGGTCACAAACAAAAAATTTTGAAGAAGAAGATATGCTTCAATTAATAAAAAAAAACAAAAGCTAAGAGCTTTTCATTTTCTTTCCCTTCTCATATGTCCGTATATGATAATAGAGAATATTTCGATCTAGATTCTCGAATATCGTGTATTATAAGTTACACCTGCAATTCTGGAATAATAATGAAACACATTAGCATCCACATCCATCAATCTTTCGCATACTCATTTAATTTATCTGGGCAATGTTCTAAAAAAACCAACCACAAACAGAATTATCAGTTGTCACTTATTTATTGAAACAATATTTTCAGTAAACTAAACTGCATATCAAC